GAGAACGGAGTGGACAGTGGGTGGCAGGCAGCGCGAGACAACTTCAGAGGGGCCTGCAGAAAGTATGTGGGGGTAGGAAGAAGGTGAGAGATCAGCGGGAGGGATTGCTTGGGGGCGGGGAGAGAGAGAGAGAGAGAGAGAGAGAGAACGGAGTGGAGAGTTGGTGGCAGACAACGAGAGACAACTTAGAGCGGCGTGCAGGAATGTATGCGGGAGGAGGAAGAAGGTGAGAGATCAGTGGCAGGTATTGGGGGGGGGAGAGAGAGCGAGAGAGAGATAGAGAGGGGGAGAGAGAGAGAGAGAGAGAGAGAGTCGGACTGCACGCACGAGGTGCAGCAAGACTTGCTCACTATATTGTAGAGAGGTGGAGGTTTGGGATCGGGATCGCCGCTGTGCAGTTGTGTGGACGAGAGGGGGCGGGTCAAAGAATTCTGAAGAGGGTAACCGGATGAGGAAAAGAGCGTGGGGATGACCCGACGGGGTTAGACGTACGCGGAGCAGGGTGGGTACCGGATCGAAATGATAAGGCGCCACTCAAGAAATTGTGGCGCCAGCTTATACACGGTGTGACCATGTGTAGATATGTCCTCTACTTCGTATGTGTTGTTACACGAACTGTATGTCTTCGTACGGTGAATGTGAAGGAGGGGAGTATGTGTGCATCACCATTTGAGCTGTTTGTCGAAGTGTCAGGTACCCAGTCTATGGTATTGGTGGCATTATGCGGCTGTGAGATATGGAGCGTGCTCCTCGCCGTCGTAGCTGGAATAAAGCAACATAAGTAGTTGCTGAATTTCCTGCAAGAAGCTTGGTCTGCTCACTGGCGTTGACATTGGAGCGCTTCGGGTATTGGCTGGCGTCATGGTGTTTGTCTCGTTACTCAGTCGGAGCAGTTCAATATCGAGTGGTGTCATCTGCGTGAGCTGCTCTTCTCCTTGGGAAGAGAAGTGCATGTGGAGCACCCCGCGTTTGCGCTTCTTCCTGTTGCAAAGGTCTTGCCTCGTCCTCGTAATGATCCTGTTGTAAGGTCTTGCCTCGTGCTCGTAATGATGTCCAGTCGAGGACATCTATGTCGTGGAATGAGATGTCAGGTAGACTCGGTGGATGGGCAATCGTGCGCGGAGGCACAGCGGTGCATGTCACGCAATATTGGCTGTGTGTGGCATTTGTAGTTGTATTTTTGTAACCCTGACTAGAAACGAATCTCGTTTTAAGAAGTAGGTTATACGACTCGGAGCAAGAACGGGAAGAGGAGATGCGGGTAGGGAAGACACATGAAGAAAGTGATCGGAGTTTGTGATGGAATACGAGTGTGTGTGAGTGTGTGTGTGTTTGTGTGTGTGTGTGTGTGAGAGAGAGAGAGAGGGTGTGTGTGTGTGTGTGAGAGAGAGAGAGAGAGAGAGAGAGAGAGAGAGAGAGAGAGAGAGAGGGTGTGTGTGTGTGAGAGAGNGTGTGTGTGTGAGAGAGAGAGAGAGAGAGAGAGAGAGAGAGGGTGTGTGTGTGTGAGAGAGAGAGAGAGAGAGAGAGAGAGAGAGAGAGAGATCTTCTTGTCCATAAGTTCAAATGTTTACGCGAATGTAATCTTTGGTGCTGTTATACTGATCCGTGCGTTTGGACTTTGGGTGTTTGTGCTGGTTGATTGGTGCTTCTTTCACCTGACCGAGGCTCTTTCAGAGAGCGGAGAATTCTCCCGTCGACATCGTTGGCCGAAAGAGTTCCACAACGGTCTTCCAGGATAAGGGTGTGCCTTGTGGTGATGTTGCTTTCTTTTCATGCGCTCAGCTTCCTGGGGAGGAGTTGCAAAGTTATCGGAGTGGTGAAGAGGGTGAAGGCGCTGTGAGTGACGCTCATGTGCCGCAGGTGGAGGATCGAGAAAGGGAAGGGGTGGGCGATGTCAAGAAGGGTGGTGTCGGCGGACGGGATACGATACGCTACGATGAAAGTGAAGACGGGAGCCGAAGGCGAGGGCAGAAGGGTAACGATCGGAAAGGCGTGGCAATGGCAAAGGCGGCTGAGGAAGGAGGGGAGGAGACGGAGACGGGCAAGACCGACCGCACACGATCAATCACGTGTTCTCTTCTTCGCGTATCGGACGGTTGTTGCCTTGGCGGATCTATCGTGGTGGATGGGGTCGGCATTGCGCATGGTAAGGTAGGTCCTGATCGAGGTCTGTGTGGTGGGGATGTGGGTCGAATGCCTTCGGCTATGAAAAAGCGACCACTGGTAGAAGATCTGACTGGAATCGGGGGTGGCGAGGCAGTTGCAGCCCGTAGCGATGATGTGTACGGAAAGGAGGCAGCGAGCCGGAGCGATGATGTGTACGGAAAGGAGGATGTGAGGCAGGGGAATAGTGACAATCGGAATATGTGTTCCTCCGTCTCTGTCGACCATGTCCTGGAACCACGAACCCCTGCTTCAAATGGGTACGGTGCTGATCCTGGTTGCGATAGGTCCCGCTGCCCCCTGGAAGAAGGCGACTATGGTGTGGAACCGAAGGGGCGGACGGAAAGAGCAGGTATGGCCGACTGCCCCCCTTGTCCGTATGTCATGCACTCCCTCAAAGATCAGCCAATCAAGGGAGCGGTAGTGGAGTGTGACAGCAGTGGATTGGTAAAGAAGGCACGAGAGATCTGTGGGGTTCCTAGAGAGGGAGGATGTCCTTCAGCGGCACCGGCAGCAGCAGGTTCTTTGTCGCAGAAAGCGGTGACCGCTTTCAGCGGTGATGAAGGCGGCGGTACTGTATCGCCTCCAGCAACGATGGCAGCTGTCTCGTTCGTGGAGCGAGGTGGGTCAGAGGGAGAGAAAAGGGGGAACCACTCAGGGGGAGGTCGTGCTGTCACTCACTTGAAGGAAGGCTTCAGTACGAGAATCGGAATGACAGCGATGGAAGAGGAGGGTCCTGTTTTCTTCGCGCCGGACGCCACGATTGCCTCTATTTCTCCCATTCTAACATCGCCTTCTTCGACTGTAGCTGTAGTCTGTCAGATGCCGACGGTGGTGGTTGCTTCTGGCGGCGTCGAGAGCGGGGCTGGGGTGGATCCAATGAAGAGCGAGGGCTTGGAGACTGGTGGTGGCGACGCGAAGGGAGAAGCAGCTGCCTGCTGCCCAATATTGGTGGCAAGTGCACTGGCGAATCGCGTCGAAAGCAGTCTGGTGAGTACTAGTGTGGCAGACATGAGAGGAAGGGGTTCGTCGACGGGCGGGACCGACATGTCCAATCTGGTGGGTATAGGAAGCGTATCTTGTTCGCTTTCCATGCAGCAGCAAGAACGTCAAGGGCAGGCGGAGGCATTGCGGCGCGGGTTAGGTACGTCAGAGGTCCTCGAGGGTAGCGTGAAGGAGGAGGGGGAAGGCGTGGACGTGTCCACTGCTGACTATGTTTGTGCAAACAATATTGAGGTGGGGATGGCGGCGGAGGGGATGTCGTCCCGGATGTCGTTTCCTAGCGATTGCAAGGGCAGGCTTAGCGATCGAGGAACCACCTTGGGTGCTCGTTTACTGCAAGGAGCCGTCGGCTCACGGAAGGAGGAGGAGGGGGGAGGAATGGCGTTGGTCGGCTCCGTAGTGGGAGGCGGAGCCCTCGAGTCCTCACAGCTCTGCGACGATCCTGGCATGGTCGTGAGTGTGGCTCTGCCTGAGGAGATCGGCATGAACAGGAGCGGGGTTGGCCTTTGTGAATGCGGCGCCGCTGCAAAGGAGGTTCTGGAGAAAGGTGCAGGGGTATTGGTGCCCGCCGGGAGCCTTCCGCTAAAGAGGGCGAGGGGAGAGCGGCATCAGAAGAGGAAGGAAGATGAAGAGGAAGAGGAAAGTTTGTCATCACGAGAGGGAGGGGCTCGGAAGTCGACGGCGGTTGCCTCCTCGTATGTCGTTGCCGCTGCGCCTCCGCGTACGGAGACAGCTTCCGCTGCTTCTAATGCGGACGGACTGAGCCGGGAGCGGGGCGAAGGGGCCATTCATGTACGGAGGGGTAAGAGGTCTGTAAAGAGCGGTAGCGGCAGATTGCAGAGAATGGTGTATACAAATGTACGGCAGCAGAACTCTATCGGTAGCAATGGTGCGGCACCGAGCAAGGAGAGGAATACGGCGGGTACGGGAGGTGCGCAGACGGTATTCTGTCCGTCGACTGCCATCCCAACGTTAGGGGCGTCGTCTAGGGGTCGTGATATCGGCGACAGGAAAACGGGGAAGGCTGTCGAGAGTGGACGTGCGAAGGCGAACCACCAACAGGAATGCGACGTGGCGGTTAATCGAGCGGCGAGGGAGGCGTCCTCCCGTGTACGAGAAGTCGAGGGTGGGAGGATGTCAAACGGAGTTGAGGGTGGGAGGTTTGAGAATTGCTCTGGCGCAACAACACGGGCAACGGGGTTGGCGGGTAGCACGAACTCAGGAGCGGGAGCTGCTGCCTCTTCTGCAGGGGCGGAGGCCGTGGACTCGGGCGTGCCCCGAATGCACGTGCTTAAGCTCCGCAGGTGTCCGGAAAATGGGGGCTTGTGGCGTGTGGCAGGGGAGTATGCCTCAGGAGGGAGCACGGCCTTGACGACGTCGACATCTCGTCCCTCTACACCTGCAACTGCCTCTGAGGCCGACACGCCCTCTCTTACTCAGCAGCAGGCGAATGGTAATGGCAATGGGAATGGGAGGGCTTCGGCGGCGGTGGAAAGTGCGGCTGTGGCGATGGAGAAGAAGGTGAAGGAATCAGGTGGCTTGCCACGGCCTCCCACTTTCTCTTCTGCTGCTTCCGTGGCTGACACCATCGTTCTGGGGAGAGAGGGTGGATTAGCTACGAAGGGGAGGGGGCCGGGATCCGAGTGTGGAAAGCCTGCGCTAGGGGTCCTTTTAAAGAAGGACGTCAGTGGATCGAGGAAAGACGGCTTGAAGGCTGTCCGGAAGTCTGTACGAGGGTTGGCCCAAGTGGGGGTTCCACAAGGGGGTAGAGAGAGAGGAACGCATGGGCAAGTGGCGAGCATCAGGAAAGGCGCGTGGACTATGCGACCGGAGGATTCCCTCGCGCAGCATCGATCGAAAGTGGAAGGGGGAGGAGGAGCAGGAGTAGGAGTAGGAGGAGGAGGAGGAGAAAATCGGGGACTGGCGACTGCTGCAAGGGCACCTGGCGTTGCAGTTGGTGCACGGGTCGACTTCCGGCATCGTACAGGGAGAAAGGGCGCTGTAGGAGGTGGTGGGTCGTTGGGTGTCGTCGACAAGCAAACTTCGGGAGCGACGGTTTCTAACGCAGGGGGGGATGTGAGAAAGGGTGAGGGGATGGAGGTTGGGTGCAGAGACGCGGGGGGAGAGGGTGTCGCAGTCAGAAGGGTAGAAGGTGGTCTTTCCCGAAGAGATCGTACGGAGGAAGGCTGTGAGGCGAAGTTTTCGAAGATGGAGCTTTGCAGGTGCAACGTGTTAGTGATTGAAGATGACTGTGGGAGGAGGGAGAGCGGAGCGGAGGTGCATCTGGAGCTGGATGAATCAGGTGTATGGGTGTTGGTAGTGATGCTGGAGGGCAAAGTTCTGTACACCGCCAAAGCGGAGCACATGGCGGCAACGGGGACGGTCAACAGATACACCCACGCGATGATATGGAAGGCGGACAGATCGTGGATGCTGGAGTTTGATGATCGGAAGGAATGGCAGTCGTTCAAGGAGTCGCATGAAGAGTGCTATCAGAGAAACATTAGGGTGTCAAGTACCAGGCAGATCCCGGTGCCTGGGGTAAGGGAGGTACATGATTATGGGGCTAGGAGGTACGGGCCGCGGTTCGTCCGGCCTTGTAATCGGTACATTCAGCAGAAGGGGGCTGGGGAGGCGGATCTTGCACTGCTGGGATCGAGGGTCATATATGACCTGGACAGCGAGGATGAAGAATGGCTGGAAAAGGTGTATCCTTCATTAGCAGGCGGGGAGGAAGGAGGGAGTGCCGCAGCAGAGAGATTGACGGATGAGAAGATGGAAAGAATCATGGACTTGCTTGAGAAAGGATCTGTCACGCTCAATCGGGAAGTCCCTGTGGAGATGGCCTGCGTTTACTGCTCAGATATTGCTCCTCGACAGCTGGTGGAGGCCGTGCATGCACATTGGATAGCGAGAAGGGAGAAAAAGGGGATGGCGCTCGTGCGACATTTTCAGGTAGGAGCTTTGGCTTCCAAAGTCTCTTTTCCCGGCTAGTTCCGCTTTCTCTGCCTCGTGTGCTTTCCATCCTTGTCTCCGTCATCTCTTCCTCACGCTTGTCTCTGTTTGATTTCTCTTTTTCACTTTTCCTCTGTTCTATCTTCCTGTCTACGTCCGTACTTTCATGTCCCCTTCTACCTGTTTCCCCGTTCTCACATCTCCCTGTATATGCCCCCGTCTATGCCTCCTCTTCGCTCTTGCTCACGCTTGTCTCTGTTTGATTTCTCTTTTTCACTTTTCCTCTATTCTRTCTTCCTGTCTATGTCCGTACTTTCATGTCCCCTTCTACCTGTTTCCCCGTTCTCACATCTCCCTGTATATGCCTCCGCCTTTGCCTCCTCTTCGCTCTTGCTCACGTTTGTCCTTTCGTACCTTCTTCCCATTGGACTCTCTGTCTAACATCCCTCTGTTCTTACCCTCTTGCCTTGTCTGTCCACTTCCGCAACGCATTCTCTCTTCGTCTCTCTCTCTTCCCCGTTCTCCCTTTCTCCGATGCCTTTTCCTTTGGGGATCTTTGTCTTCCCCCCCTCCCCTTCCTTCCTCCCTCCCCCCGCCTACCCTTTCTCCACTCATCTTTGTTTCCCCCTTCCTGTTCCCCCTTTACATCCCTCCCAGGGACCATCTCCCTTCTCTTTCTCATTTTTTCATCTTCTTTCCGTCTGTTTGTATCTATCCCTCCTCTCGCCATCGCCGTCGTCGCTTTCTTCTCCTTGTGTTGTGTCTCCGCTTTCTGTTGACTTCTCTGCACTCCTCTCCCGCCGCTCTTCCCGGATACTCTTTTCCCGCCTCTCCCCTTGCGCCTCTTCTTTCTCTGGACATCCCGTACCCGCTCCTTGTCCGTTTCCCGGCTTCTTTGTCCGTCTTTTCCTCCGACCTTACCTGGATCCCCTCCCCTATATATTCTTCGCTCTCAGGGTGAGATCCCACTACCCTGGATTATTCATTTTTCACCCTCGATTACGAAGATCAACGGTCAGAAATGAACAGTAGGGGCTAGTGGGATCTGGCCCTCACTTCCTCAGTCTGACAGGTTTTTCTTGTCCTTTTTTCTCTCGTTTCCGGTTTCTCTTCCCCTCTTCCCCTCCCGTTCTCTCTCCCTCACCTTGATCTATTCTAGCCCGCACTCGATCTCTCTCTGCACCTTGTCCTCTTCTCTCAATTCCCTATCTCGTTGCGAAAATGCTTGTCGTTGCTTTAGTACGGGAAATGCGTTCCTGTTTGTGATATTATTTTCTTTATTTTGTAGCAGAAAAGTCTGCTACATTTATCGACTCTTCGTGTCCTGCGTTAACATTATCATGATTTGAGAACCTTTTCCAGGTGAATAGCTTGCCTTGTCTGCTCTTTCTTTCATGGCTGCTTTTTCAATGCAATCTTTTCCATTCCTAGTGTCAACATGGTAGTTGGTTGGTTATTGAGCGGTTCTAGAGGGTGTGCAGGTTATCTGGGGGACTCTGTTTGGGTCAGGGTTCGTCTGTTTCCGCATGCATAGCTCTTCTTATTTCGGTGTTCCTTTCCCTCCTGTGTGCGTTTCAATCGGGTGATAGTTGAAGGGACTTACGTCTCCAAAGCTTCCATTGGTTATAGGTAAAGTTAAATAAATATTCTGACGCATTGTCTGCATATCCAGCTGTGGGAGTGCTCTGTGCCCTATGATGGACCCTCAGTCAATCAATTCAGATTGCCGCTTATAATGTGTTAGAACGTAGAACTGATTGCTTGCCCAGTTGTTGATGATGCACTATGCTTCCTGATGAGTCACTGAACCTCTGGCAAAGAAATGTCAGCAACGTTCTCTTCTGCTCTAGCGTCAGTATATGTAATACAATGCAACTCGTTAATGTGCATGTGTTCCACTTAGGCCATAGGAAACGAGCATGTGTATGGATGTGTTCTGTCCAGTCTGCCACGGTAGTTTCGCGGATCTATCTTCGCTGAAGCGGAACCGTAAGTCTTTTGTGTTTAGCTGTATAGCTCCTATCGTGACCACTTGTGGAGACTGTGTGGCATGTTGGTGGGAATGTGGAATTGTCGCCATGATTGTTGTGCATATGGGTGGGGCGGGCTTAACTGCACGTTGCTATTCTTTAGACCATCAGTCTGTTTTGGCCAGGCAATTCTTCTCCCACAAGAGCATATTATTATTATTATTTTTTTTTAATCCAACAGCAGAAATTCGTATCAGGAAAAGAAGCTTGGGCGGACTGGTGGTTGCAGTGGTGCTTAAAGCCACCAGCCTATGCTCTAGCTATTTTCTGTCAACACATCGATTATCCCACCGCAAAATCATGGGTTGAGCCTACTGCACGGAAAAAGGCTGGCGTCACCAGGCAAACCATCACTGGACGGACTGTTGGTTGAAGGACTGGATGCAGAACCACAGCCATGTTGCTTTTTTTTTAAATCTTTTCTTTTCTTTTCTGCGAGAATGTGGAGGCTTCCTCCTTAGCAAGCTGCAGAGGCAGTTCTGAAAGTGGATGTGCTGCAGAGTTTCTTTTCAACGGAATGCGAACGCAGAACTGTCCATTTGGTGAAGAGCCAGCCAATGCTCTCTACTTACTGCTGGGTGGTTTTCGCTATCGTAGAGAGCAGCCAGTGGTGGTGAACTGTCCATTATGGTGAACTGTCTACACCAGCCGGCCATCTCTCTACACCACCACATGCAACCTTTCAACACGATAGCGATGTGGATAACAACAAAAGAAAAAATGCAGTTTGAGGATACTCGGAGGGCAGGTGGTGGTGGCAGTCTCCTTGACCTTGCAGTAGCGTGACTGGGGGGCATGGCATGGTTTGGTTTTCTCTTTGAGTTTGCTGCTGGACCAGTATACTGGTGGTTGTTTTTTGTATCTCCATCTGTGGGTAACTCGAGATTATTGCACCCCAAATTAGGTTGGATGGTGATGGTTGATCGTTGCTTGCTGGAAGAAAGAAAGATAAGATACAGGTGCTGTCATTATCAAAAGAAAAATGAGATACACATGGTGTCGTTATCCTCATGCTTGCCGTCATGTTCTGGCCTTTGAAATTGGCTTATGTGCAGCTTTCTCGATTGCTGTTTTTTCTGTTATGTCGCAGCCACCGGCGTGGGTCATATATCAGGAGCAGTTGAAGAGCTGGCAGAGAAACGAAACGCCGCAGTCGAGTGCCAAGGGTTCTGGGAAAGGAAACTCTGCTCACAAACATTCGGGGAGGCCTTCATCAAAGGCAACACTAACAAAGCCGGCCTTATTTGCATTTTGCTTGAAGCCGAGGGGTATGGAACAACGGCCACAGCGTCAGAGATCGAACAAGAGGCATGGGATGATTTCACAACAGGGGATGGAAGCTCTGGCGGAAGGGATGCAAGGGCGCTCGCTGGCAGCAGAGTTCAAGGCAGTTGCTGGTTGCAGGCGAGCAGGCGACCAGCCTCCTCTCAAGAGGCAGAAACAGGAAACGCCTCCTGGTTAGTTACCTCTGACACCTTGTCCGTGCAATGTTTGCCAAAGTGGACAATAATCCTTAAGAGAAAGCTCAGGAGGTTATGTGATTCTGCAGATTGTGTATGAAAGTTGGCGACAGTGACTGGGCTCGCATGGGCACCGAGTCGTGTCGATTTTGATGATGCTCAAAGGAGATGAATGGATGGATCTATGTGCGCTGAATATGGCCCCACAGTGTGCTTTCAAGTGAAAAAGGTCAACGATTCAATCTTCCTTTCCCCTCTGACATCCCTCTGATGCTTGGTGATACTATTTCTCGGGCACGACATGTCGGTAATGGTAGCCTGTTTTGGGATCTGGAAGTGACTCAGTGAAGACGCTTTGCTCTAGCTTGCATGTCGTTGTTCAACTGGCAATGCTTCGATCAGGTGTGGGGACCACCACCATTGCAGAGCTTGGATGTGACTCAGTCAAGACATTTCCTCTAGCTTGCATGTGGTTGTTCAATGGGCAATGCTCGGATCAGGCTGTTCTGATATTTGATGGGAATCGGCATGGTGAAGCTTGGATGCAATGGCAGAGCAGGTGACTAGGAGATGAAATCATGGCACAGCTTTTGGTGGCTGCCTTCAATAGAATTCAGAGTGTCTGAGATGTTGTGAGGCATTGAGCATTTATGGCAAAAAAGATGAAGAAAACCACCCAAGGAGGAGCATGCTGTGTGGTTCTCACTGCTGCTGGCTTTTACTAAAATCATTAAAAAAACGTATAGCATTTGGGGTGCTTTCCATGCCTACGCCTTCTTGTAGGTTTATGTGAATGTGTAGGACTGACTCATGGGTCCACAGCACCAAGAATGCTTGTGAGGATGCTGCCCATGACATGCTCGTAGGCCCCAAAGAGAAACAAAAGGATGGATTGAGTGGATCTACTGCATGTGCTGGTTGGAAGCACGTGTATGAGAGGGGAACTTGGATGTCTTTCCTTCGGTGCCATCTCCTTGCGTAGTCTGTTGTTATCAATTTGCCCTTTTCTGGCGTGCTGCTTTCTCTACATCTGCGTCTTTTGTTCTCCTTCGATTCCTTCATAAGTGCTCCACCCCAGCTCCCTGGCATGCAATTGGTGCTCGGCTGTCTCCTTTGTTCTCTCACTCTGCTGGATGTTCTGTCCTTTTCCCTCTTTCCAGGTTTACACCCCCTCCCCCCTCCCCCCCCCTTCTCCCCCGCCTGGCCCCCCTGCATCAGCATCCTCGTCTGATGTTTTTCTTTCCGTCTTCGCTCTGCGTATAGCTTTTGCAATTTCCTGGATGGATGGATGGATCTGCGTTCCCCTATTTGCCGCTTGAATGGGAGCTCACTAAGACGTCGTCCTTGCGCGTGTGAATGATGTTTCTAACGCAGTCAAGAGGAGGAGCAAGCCCTGTCTCCCTCCTGATAGCAGGCCGCGGGATGTACTGGGTTTTCAGGAACCAGCAATTCCTTCCCGAGGCTCCAATCGAATATTGACGAGTCACGCTTCTAAGCCTGCAGCAGTTGGGACCAGCAATGCCCCTCCAGATGCTAAGGGAACGGCACCAATCACTCCGGCACCTGGAGACAGGAAACTGAAGGGAAAGAGAGCTACCAAAATGAAGAGAAGAATGAATGTTGTGGCTATTGCAGAGTCGCGGAAGAGACAGAAGCTTGAAAATCAATCTGCCTCACCAAGGCTAGGGGGTGAAAGTAGGAACTTGAAGACACAGGGCGATGAGCTGTGCGCATCGAAGAATTTTCTTGAGGAATCCCGGGAGAATGCGGTTTGCCCGTCCACTGCTGCCCAGCAAACGACTCCGGGTGACCGAGCGAGGGTCTCACAACATGGGTTCGTCGAGCAGAAAGCAAAGGTAGGTGCAGAAGAGCCGGTATTACGGACAGAGGTCCCGGTCGTAAGGCGGGATGGGTGGAATCTTGTGCGGTGCCAGCCTCTGGATGGGAGGATTCCTTCTGTACAAATGGACCCATTACAATGGCCACTGCAGGAGCTGAAAGGGGTGAATAGATGCAATGTCATCTCTGGATCCGTACATCGTCCAGAGGAAACGGTGGCAGGAGACCAGTTAGAAACTTGCGCGCCCATAAGAGACTGTCTGGCCGTGGATTATGGGGAGGGAACGAGGAAGAGTTGTGATGTTTCGAATGAAGCGAAACAAGGCAGTGGTAGGTTTTCACAGCACGATTATCACGAAAACATCCCTCCTTTCCGGGGAAGAGAACAAAACAAGAAGCCGGATGTTTCTCAGGAAGATTTTGCCAGCGGACAAGGTAGGGACAGCGTTAATTCAGTGAAACAGCAGGAAGCTAATGAGGCACTGTTAGGGGATACTCGCAGACTTGTTGGTGGTCATGGCAATGGTCGTGAAGAGCACTTTCTTCAGGAGCAGGGTGAAGGCTCCAGACAGGAGCATACAAAAGGGAATGGATTGGATTCGAATGAAGCTCGTCCCATGGAGCAACCACAGTCTCAAGGTGCGTGCCAGCAAGACGACGAAGCTCAAAATGGAGATGATAACCAGGATGGCTCTCAGCAGATGCAGGAGCAGTTGCAGGATCAAATCGACCAGCAACAGAGAGAGAGGGACTTGCATTGTGAGGAGCCCTCCTCAGCTCTTTCACCCCCGAAAGAATCCCATCTCGGGGTTCTGGCAAACGAGTCCCAGTTGTCAGCGGGGTTATTCCCGTATTCCCTTTCTCCCTTGATAGGGTCGTGTCCTGCTGGTGTGACAATAGAATCATTATCAGCCTTGCCACTAGATCTGCCATTTGCTCCACCTTCTTTCCCTTTGTCTGTGTCGTCGCTGGCACTGCCGCCATCATTGCACGCCTCTGCAATAGTGCTTCCACAAGCTACCGGTATTCCCAATCCTAGTGATGCTTTAGACGACAAGACCATGGGGGGTGATGTGGGAACGCAGGAACATTCAAATGCTGACATTGCTAAGCTCGAGTTTGTGAAGCTGGATCTGGCAGCGAGGAAGGCCCGGGGCGTGGCATTCAAGGACCGGGCCCGTGCTAATCAGCTCAAGGAACTTGCGAAGGAAGCCAAGAACAAGGCAATTGCAGCGCTTCAGAAGGCAGAAGCTCTGGCACAGGCCGATCAACCATCTCTCACGGCGGAGTTGGCGAACCTTCGAGCTCGTTTGAAGCCACTGTTGGAGGGGTCCGAAGTCGCTGCTGAGGAGGGGCCAGGTGGTGGGTCGCATCTATTTTTGAAAACTAGCAAGCGTGAGAGGAGCGAGAGGAGTAAGGGACATCGACAAATGCGCACTGAAAGACCTGGGGACTCTGTGCCCGGTGGAAAGGTTTCCTGGTCTTCTGCAGGTAGCCGTGTAGCAGTACCACCTTGCAGCTCTTGGGGGAGGGCGGCGACAGCTCGACAGGGTTCGGATGGGCTGCAGGGGATCAGAGGGGCGGTTGCTAGGACTGAGGCGGATGCTGGAGCCGAGAAGAGTGGTGAAGAGAGGTCAACTCCTTCAGAGGGCGGTGGAAGTGATGGGGAGGGGCTTTTGCATGATGGGCTGCTAGCGCATAGCACTGTGGTGGTAGAGAAACCTGATGATGTGCTCACAATGACCATCAGCAACACGGGAGCCATGTTTGATACGGGCGCGGCACTGCTTCCTGCCATGTGTTGGGGGGGGCCTAAGGCGGTAGTAGGGTCTGATAGCAGGCAAGGAGTTGGGGGAGCTGTTCAAGGATCGCTCTTGCCATTGTCAGCAGGGGTCTCCCACGAACGAGAGAAAGGGTTGATGTTGCTCGAAGGCAGAACGTCCGTTGACGTACCTGAGTCAAGCGCTGGAGGGGACTTGCTTATGCTGCCAATGCCAAACAGTGGCAGTCCAGCAGTGTTCCCTCTCCTGACCCCCCAGGCTGGGTGATCAGAGTGTAGGGTAAGTAGACAGCTTTCTGGTGTCTGTTTTATGCTTTGGTCAATCTCTTTCTTTTCTGTCATTGACTGCTGCTGCTTCATGGAGTCCAGGTTTTTCCTTGGTTCTGCCCTGTCCTCCTGATACTTCTTTTTTCCCACTTTTGCACCTTTTCTTAGTCTCCATTCCTCGCTTCTTTGCTCCTGCCTGGTTGTCAGGGTTGCGTGGAGAATGCCGTAGTATTGGTAGGTATATGAGAAACGTGTACTTGTGAAATGAGATCGGCTGGATTCTTTTTTTAAAATTTCCCCCACATTGGATTCTATCCATTGCCCCAAGAGTACCTCTTCTTCATAAGGCAACTTTTCTTCCTCCCTAGACTCCTTGTGGAACAACGATCAGAGGGTTGGTCGAGTCTGCCGATGGGAAGTGTTGTTGATTGGAAAACAAGAAGCTTCCTCACACTCACTTCGTCCGTCTTATTTCCATGTCTTGGTTTGTTCTTGGGGACGTACAAAGCGTTATTCTTTTGCTCTTACATTTGCCTGCGTATCTGTCAGTTTTTTTTATTCCCTCGTCCTGGTGTCGTTCACGCTGTAGTTATCGGTTCCACACCAATGTGCTGTACCAGGTTCTCCGAGGTTCGTTGGCGAGGCACAGCCAAAGTCAGACTGGTTTATGCTGGTGGTTATTGAAGCTTTCCTTCCTTAGAAGTGTAAGGATGGCTGCAAAGGGCGGGGTTAACTCGAATTCTCATCTGAGGGGGGGTGGCTGGATGTGATGGTTTCTGTGAAGGGCAACATCTGCCTTAGTCTTAGAAAGGGAAAAGTGAAGATATGGATGGGCGGGGAGGGCTGAACTGGGTAAGTAATGAGAGGTGTTTTGGGGAGCCACGAGAGAGAGAGAGAGAGAGAGACTTGATGATCATTGCGTAGGCTCAAGGCTCAGAAAAGGTGTGAAAGAGCGCCTACCTTGTTCATCGCATTCCTGTTCAAGACTGTTGCCAGCCCGTGTGACCCTGTGTTGGTGTGCACAAAGGCATCAAATGATGTGGCCATGGAGGCCTCTATGTGTGTGTGTGTGTGTGTGTGTGTGTGTGTGTGTGCGCACGGAAGGGGTGGGAGAGAGAGAGAGAGAGAGAGAGAGAGAGAGAGAGAGAGAGAGAGAGAGAGAGAGAGAGAGATTGCTTTTGCATCATCGGAGAGAATAAGCAACTAAGTGCTCTGGAGGTCAGTTGGTTATACCGCTAGGATGCATATATGGTGCAGCTACATAAATTCTGTCAGTTTTCGAATTGAAGGCGTTGTAGACAACTCTGCAGCAAACCTTCCTTCCACCCTCATCTCGTTGAGCGGTTATCTGTATAGGATGTCGGAAATTTCTTGCCGTTATCTAACCTTTCTTCTTCACATTCTATCTATGGAGGGATATAACTGTCCTTCCTGGACTTCTCTTCTAGTTTGTTGTGTTTTGTATCAGGCAAAACACCACCTGATCTCCGGTGGCTCCAACAAGCATTGTTTTGCATGTTTCTTCCTTCTCTCCTCTTCACTGAGAAAGCTGACCACAATTATTGGCCGCTTTGCGGCTTGCTTCTCGCTGCCTTTCTTTTTTTGCCGGTGTCGGTTTTGATGACATGTTCGAAGGCCCTTGTATTATCAAATGATGTCCTGGTTGTTTGTCGATCAGGGTCGAGGTCTTTTTCCTCCTATGAGACGCTTACTTTTTGAGCTTTTTACAGGTTTGTGTCGGACGAGTTTTAAGACATGGCGTCTTCGAGACAGATTTCTGGGTGGCACCTACGCGATTACGCTTTTCTGTTTTTCCCCGCTGGCGGTGGTCAGTTTCCCAACTTTCCTCTGTTCGATGCAAAAACTTTCAAACCTCAAATTAGTTGAATGGTAGTAGAACTTCCGTTCTCCTCCCCATCCCCATCCCC